ATATTATGGGTAAGTCCCGCCTTCCCTTCTCTTAGCTATAGCTCAGAATCCACAATGCCGTCCACGTTAACCAATCACGTGATGCCAAGGGCTGTCAATCATCTGCGCTGATGCTCGCAGCTGCTCATGCTCAGTTGTTTGTTTTCACAGAGCCTCCGAATCAAGCCTCTATTAGGCTCTGGAACTACATGAAAACTGAACAAAGAATTCTGAACATCCGCGCTGAGTTAACCATTTATATACTGAACCTATATCCATAATCATTTATATACTGAACCTATATCCATAATCATTTATATACTGAACCTATATCCATAATCATTTATATACTGAACCTATATCCATAATCATTTATATACAGAACCTATATCCATAATCATGTATATACTGAACCTATATCCATAATCATTTATATACTGAACCTATATCCATATTCATTTATATACTGAACCTATATCCATAATCATTTATATACTGAACCTATATCCATAATCATTTATATACTGAACCTATATCCATAATCATTTATATACTGAACCTATATCCATAATAATGTATATACTGAACCTATATCCATAATAATTTATATACTGAACCTATATCCATAATCATTTATATACTGAACCTATATCCATAATAATTTATATACTGAACCTATATCCATAATAATTTATATACTGAACCTATATCCATAATAATTTATATACTGAACCTATATCCATAATAATTTATATACTGAACCTATATCCATAATCATTTATATACTGAACCTATATCCATAATCATTTATATACTGAACCTATATCCATAATCATGTATATACTGAACCTATATCCATAATAATTTATATACTGAACCTATATCCATAATCAGATCCTCTGCAGATGTGTCCTATAATGTGCAATCAATGAAAATAGCTACTTCCGGGTTTTCCGCGATCGCTTTTTTGTGCATTAAAACATTATTTCTTTCATGAAAACGTGAACAAATAATTCTGAAAACCTCCGTGCATGTGTATTAATAATGTATATGTATAATGTGTTCTCTGATTAACATTTAAATGTGTTACGGAAACGTAGGTGTAGACCAATCAGAAAGGAAGGGGGAGGGAGCTTGCGTCGTTTTTTTCAAATCAAGTACCTCGCTTTCTTCTTTTCTGACAAACTGCACACAATCACTTTAATATCCAATCATGTGTTAGAAAAACAGCAATGATAATAATTTGGTCAAAGTACTTCAATATTGATACAACTATAGCATCCGTTTCCATGGTTTCTCGGTTTTTCTTCTTTTAAAGTGCGAGTGTAAATGATCTGGCTTTTGAACCATGTTTTTAACACTCTGAGGTCTAATTTAGAGGTGTGTGTTCTCAGTATGTGTAGGTTAGCGCCAGGATTGATTTGATTACACTCCTGTATGCAGCCGAGCCTCACCCACACGACACCTGTGTGGCCTCATGGGAAATTGATTTTGAGACCCCTGAACTCCTCTGTGGCATGTACATAGGAGTAACATGCTTCTACCACGAGCTGGGGTTAGCTTTCTTACTCATACCTCTTTATTATCCATTTAACATACTGTATCTTGGCTTTTTGTCTGTTATTTTTGTCCTTTTCTGAAAAATGAAGTGACTAAACAGTTCTCAAGATCTTGTTGAAAAGTTCAAACGATCCAAATGGTTAGTAATAAAAGTAGTAGTAGTACTGTAGTTTATTAGTAGTAGTTTGTCACATGTTTTCAAAGATCTTTTACAATAAGAATGAAAATACCTAAATCATGTCTATTAAGAATTTTAGTGCTAATAAATCCCAAGAAATAAAATAAATAATAATCATAATAAAAGAAGTCTCATATGTAAGTAATCTTTGTAAAGACTAAAGTGCATTTTACAGATCAAGGTCTAACACAGCGTTCTATAAATTCCATGCGTCCATTTACTCCATCATTACATCAAGCTCAATTTTACATGTTTTTTTGTGGTGGGGAAAACCGGAGCACCTGGAGGAAACCTACTCAGACATGGGGAGAACATGCCAACTCCACAGAAAGGCCTGGAGATAGAATCAAGCCCAACCCCAAAGCTAACCGTTGCGCCGCCGTACTGCAAAGTAGTAGTCGTACTAATAGTGGTGGTAGTTCTGGTAGTAGTAGTAGTAGTAGTCGATTAGTACAGAAGTAAGTGGAAGTAATTCAGAATAAGACAGTGGTAGCGGAAGTGAGATTTTTTTATTTTTATATTACAAACTTATGCAACAATGAAATTATGAACAAAATACAAAAAAAAGCAAAATAAACCCATTGGAACCAGAGAGATTTAGAGATGTATTCTCTCTTCCAGATCTCTCTCTGGTTTCTGTCTAGTCCCTCTCTGGTCTCTCTTTAGTCTCTATCTTGTCTCTCTCACTGGTCTTTCTCTAGTCTCTCTTTGGTCTCTCTAGTTTCTCTCTAGTCTAAGGAAAGGTTAAGGTTAAGGTGCACTTTATTGATCCCTGTAGGGCAATTCATCCTCTGCATTTGACCCATCCTGTCAGGAGCAATGGTTGCCGTAGTAACAGCGCCCGGGAACCCACCTCAAGATGTTGATGCTCGGCTTGCTCAGGACTGCCAGATCTGGAGGATTTAACCTAGTGGTAGGAAAACTGTAGTACCCGGAGGAAACCTACGCAATCACAGGTAGAACATGCATACTCCACTCAGAAAGACCCCGTCCCGACCGGGATTCAAACCCAGGACCTTCTTGCTCAGCTACTGTGCCGTCTCTCTCTGGGCTCTCTTTTGGTCTGTCTAGTTATTCTCTCCGGTCTCCGACTTCCGTTTCTAAATTCACATTTGGCAGGTTTCCTTGGCCGTCAGTGTTCTCAGGCTTCTCTTAGACATTTGCTTACACCTCTCATATATTTCCATGACAAGACCTCCAGCTCCCTCAGCACGCCGATAATACGCCGCTGCGAAAGGGCCAAAGGGTCACATAAAACCATTTAAGTCCAGATAGATTGAAAAGCCCTGCGCGGCGCCACGGTTCGCGCTCTTCTGAACAGCGGGAATCTGTTAGTTACACACACTCGCAACTACTTTGGAAAGAGAGAGACGATAAGAGGAGGTCCGGACCCGCACGCCTGCTTGCATGTTTACTTTTAGCATCACCATCAGATTTCTCTCGAGTCGAAGGATTTCCGTTAGCTATCCGGCGCAGCTGCATTCATCATAACTGAGGTGGACAGGCCAATATTAGATGTCTAATTAGAGAGAAGCGTCAAGGAGTCGATGCAGAAAGCAATACTTTAAATAAAGCACAGTGGGAGGACTATGTAAGGTCATGCAGAAGAGGACTAGCATACAGATAGAACCAAGCAAAGACTCGTAAGTGGGTGGAGAAAGTAAGTGGTTTGGCAGAAACTTTTAGGGTTCCTATAATATTTGGTGGAATTTTGTCTGATGTCAATTCAATTTGGTTTTGTATCGCCCTAAGTGACAACAGTAATTACCTCAAAAAACTTTACAAAGCTGTGAATTCGCCAATACAGATCAGAGAATCAAACACAGGGAATGATAAAAAAACACATAGAGCAGGGATGTCAAAGTTAAATACATCAGAGGGCCAAAAAAAATACATTTGCCTACAAGCCGAGGGCCGGACTGGTTCAACGTCTATTAAAACATATTAAAATGATGCATATAACCTTTAGAACCTAGACCGTGGACCATATTTGATTTCATGATAAAATGAATAATCCAATATTTTTGTATTGCTTTGTTAGTACATATTTCAACAGACTCACAGATAAAAACAAACTTAATATTCCAACATTTTCTTATGGTTCTGTGCAGCCAGTTCTAATAAATATTAGATATCACCCTGGGGGCCAAGATGGATCATTCGCAGGCCCACGGGTCTTGACCCTGACACCCATGACATAGAGCCATCGGTCCATAAGGAGCAGAACACCAATGTCCATGAATGCATTATGTAGGCAGCGTGTTCCATCTAAAACAGAAGCAAAAAGTATTGTTCTCTGAAGGAGATAAGCTTCACAAAGAACGCCAAGCACAAGAGGTCTTGGAGTCCAAAGCTGAGAATGAAAATAAGCTTGACTTTTTAAAGGAAAATCACCAGACAATGAATCATTTTCCCTTTTTGGGAATAATTTACAAACAATTGGAATGGTATAAAGGTGTCTAGGTCAGGCTCCCATGACAGAGATAGATAGAGACATAGATAGATGGGATACGGAGAAAGTATTGTCAAATCCACAAACACTGACATGGTCTACATAATTGTTTGGAAGAGAGTTGAGATTGATTCGAGATTTAACATAGTACATATACATTAATGTGTTATTCCTAGGTTAAACTACTAGCTGCAGAAATAACTAGGAGAAAAAAAAATAACCAAAGTTGTTCTCACAATATGTTCCCCGACATTCTCAATGTTTCAAATACTTATAAATGTTTCAAAGGTAGTCACCTGTACTAACACTGCCAACCTAATGCCCAAGCCTTGGACAGACCCCAACCACCAACAGCTCAATCAAGGACTCGACCAAATTAACATTGCATTTTGAAATCTGTCCAACCAGGCTTTTTCCTGACCCCTCCAAACTCTCTCTCCCACCGAGACGCAGCACAAATGAAAGAATAGGTAACGCCATAAAAGATGAAACCTCGCTCTCCACACGCTATCTCCCATTCCGCACGGCCTCATTATTCGCAGCTTTTGTGGATGTCAGCGAGCCAAAATGACAAAAATAAAACCCCAACTTTTGATGCCTCCCTTCCCGTGTGCTGATAAAATATTGAACAGGCCTCTCTCCTCCTCGCTGCTCGGCTCAGCGCAGTCACCATTCTTCACACATTCCCCTTCAAGATAAAAGTGGGCTCCCCTCCGCGCCAGATGTAAGTTCACTACTCAGTCTGCCATAGCTTATGACATCTCACTCAGCGAATGCGTTCATAGAGAAGTGAGAAGTGGGGTCGGCCGTGTTGCGGTAGGCAGATGGCAGATGTGTGGATGGATAGATGTAAAGGTGGCAGTGGTTTCGGAGTGGTAAAGGTCGGCATTTTATTCTTCAGCAATGACATCATGGTGAATCTGGTCAATTCAATTAAATGTATTTGTGTATGGACCAAAATCACAACAGCAGTTGTCTTGAGGACTTAAATTTGTGGATTCACCAGCCACAGGTCAGAGAATCAAACGGTTCGAACACAGGAAATGCAATACTGTCCTGGATCATCACCACTGTCTTTAAACCCTCCTGCACTGGCAAGGAACAACTAAAAAAAAAGTGGGAAAAAGCAAGAAACCTGTAGAGGCTGCAGATCCTGGATTGAGGCTGTAGATCCAGGACTGAGGCTGTAGATCCAGGACTGAGGCTGTAGATTCAGGACTGAGGCTGTAGATCCAGGACTGAGGCTGTAGATCCAGGACTGAGGCTGTAGATCCAGGACTGAGGCTGTAGATCCAGGACTGAGGCTGTAGATCCAGGACTGAGGCTGTAGATTCAGGACTGAGGCTGTAGATCCAGGACTGAGGCTGTAGATTCAGGACTGAGGCTGTAGATTCAGGACTGAGGCTGTAGACCCAGGACTGAGGCTGTAGATCCAGGACTGAGGCTGTAGATTCAGGACTGAGGCTGTAGATTCAGGACTGAGGCTGTAGACCCAGGACTGAGACTGTAGATCCAGGACTGAGGCTGTAGACCCAGGACTGAGGCTGTAGATTCAGGACTGAGGCTGTAGATCCAGGACTGAGGCTGTAGATCCAGGACTGAGGCTGTAGATCCAGGACTGAGGCTGTAGATCCAGGACTGAGGCTGTAGATTCAGGACTGAGGCTCTAGATCCAGGACTGAGGCTGTAGATCCAGGACTGAGGCTGTAGATTCAGGACTGAGGCTCTAGATCCAGGACTGAGGCTGTAGATCCAGGACTGAGGCTGTAGATCCAGGACTGAGGCTGTAGATCCAAGACTGAGGCTGTAGATCCAGGACTGAGGCTGTAGACCCAGGAATGAGAGAATCAAACAGGAATGGATACCAGGAAATACAATTTTTTTAAAAACACATTGAAGCTATTGGTCCTAGAAATGTGAATTTCTCGTTTATATCAGTATATGTGGACCGACAAATTGACCTTGTCTCAGTGTAATACAATATTTTACACGGTTTAAATGGCATCTGTCTTTGGCTTCTTTGACAGTGGAGCCTTCTAGTCCAATATGAAACACAGAACATAGATTGCAAGTTAGCATTTCCCCAGTCTTCAAAACTTTCTTGCATTCTTAGACAAAGTATGGACAAGTCTTGACATATATATCGATTGCCTGGTGTAATAACAAAATGTAGGGGGCCCAGTTTTATTTTTTATAAACCTCAACAAAATCATGCTTTCCCTAATCAAAACTCCTCTGTCCACTTCTGACTGCGCTTGCTGACTTCTCACTTTGCTTCACCAGTTCCCACAGTAATCACGAATGCTCTGAATGCTGTACAGAGTCGGAGCCGCCGCCGGAGCAGGGGTCGCACTTGGCAGTCCCAGTCACGCCTCCCCTCTCCCGGCCTGACCTCTGTGGGCTGGGAGACTACAACCAATCAAAAGTCGACACTCACACAACACATCAGCGACTCCGTAAAGCCAGGAGTGCAGCACCATCCATCTCCGTGTCGGCGAGTTATGGATAAAGTTGTGTATCGTAGCAGGAGTTTGAGGGAGAGAAGATGGAAAGTTATCTGGGACGTGTTGAAGGAGAAGAGAAATGTTGTACAGGTTCATATGGTTGACTCATAAGGACAACTATTACGCATCATGTGACTTCCTTTTAGTCCTTAAAGCTAGAGTTGCTAACTTTGAAACCATAAATGAATCAAATATTCTAAACGTATGTGTGTAGCTATTTCTCGCTTTCACAACAGGTGTCACATGTATGTATTTTAGGCCTCTGTTGCATCTTTAGATCATTTTTTTTTTTTTTTGATGTAAAAATGAAAAATTGAGGACCACCCTCACTCAGCCATCAGCTCTCACTATGCAGAAGATTTTTTTCGGATTTATTATACAACAAAGAGAGGAAACCAAGATAAAACGTAGCACCATAATGTCCACACACTGTAAGTAAATCCAATAAAACATACCAAAAAGACATGTCCAAATCTCTTTTTCCACTGTATAAAAGAGAAAAGGCTGTAATGGTGGAAATGTCATCAACTATGTTTGCGATTGTAAGAAATTTGCTTTGGTATATGGTTTATAATTTGTTTTGTAAAATGTTGTATAATTTGATAATACCCGTTACATAACCTTAAATAAATCTGACATACAGTATGAAGACACACACTGAAAATTAAACAGAGGTATGAGATTATAAAGTGGCCGACCATTGTAAAAGGTCTGGATCTAGTGATGAGTTATGAAGAGGGGAAGATGGATTCTATTGTTACAGTTATAGTTAATGCAATACATAATCTCATGGACATCTGAACGGTGAGTGTGCAGTGCTTTCTTGTCTCTGATCTTCTCCTCCATGTCACACTCGAACCGAAAACCCTCTCTGTCGTTTGCATCTGGCCTCCTCCCCGTCTGGAGATTGCGTATTGCGGTGATACATCATTCACAGTGCTGTAGTCTCCCCACTTCCAAGTCGACTACACTTATTAAAAGCAGCAGACAGAGAGAGAGTGAGAGAGAGGGAGGGAGGGAGGGAGAGCGGAGGAGAGTGCAGAGGAAGTGAAAGAGGAAAAGCACATTCTGTTCGAGAACTTGGCTTTGAATTCCAGCTCACGATGAGGCCACTTTGTAGACGTACAGACGGCGAGGTATGGGAGAAGTTGCCGAAGTGTGCAGGGTTTAATGCAGGTTCGTGCCGAGGTTATGGGATGAATTCAAAAGTACATACAGGACCGTCGTAAGAGCACTCAGGGAGCATGCACAATATAAAAAAATAAATCACAAGAGTTTAAGTTTATTAAGGAAAACCCCTTGCGATGAATCATCTCATTTTCGAGGGGGTCCTAAATATAAATACAAACATGTAAACAAACACACATACATACATACAAAAACTATTTACAGCGAATTAATCAGACACACATAAGATAAGAGTTCCTTTATTCGTCCCACAGTGGGGAAATTTCGATGTTGCAGTGCACATATAGGACAGTAGTAAGAGCCCACAGGGTGCACACAAAATATACAAAAAAAGAAGTAGCTGTATTACTTAACTATCTGTAAATGCTGTAAATGCTTCGATACCAGTCTTTCAAAATAAAATATATAAATATGTAGTAGTGCAGAGTTATATACTGTACATATAGTGTAGGATAATAGGCAGATAAGTAAAGTGACATTGTTCAGTGATATTCTGAAGGAGCAGTATTGCACATTGCACATGATTTAGTATTTACTTATTTACAGACTCAGCAGTTCTTATTGTACAGTCTGACAGCAGCAGGAAGGAAAGACCTATGGAACCTCTCCTTCACACAGCGAGGGTGAATTAGTCTGTCACTGAAGCTGCTCTCCAGAGCAGACAGAGTGTCCTGCAGGGGGTGACAGTCATGGTCCAGCATAGATGTTAGTTTGCTCAGGACCCTCCTGTCCCCCACCTGCTGCACTGTGTCCAGGGAACAGGCCAGGACTGAGCTGGACTTCCTGATGACCTTGTCCAGCTTCTTCCTGTCCCTCTCTGTGATACTGCTGTTCCAGCAGACCACACCGTACAAGAGGCTGATGCCACCACAGAGTCATAGAAGGTCTTCAAGAGTGGCCCCTGCACTCCAAAAGACCTAAGCGTCCTCAGCAGGTAGAGGCGACTCTGGCCCTTCTTGAAGAGGGTGTCTGTGTTATGAGTCCAGTCCAGTTTGTGGTTCAGATGAACACCCAGGTACTTGTAAGAGTCCACTCTCTCAATGTCCTTTCCCTGGATGTTCACTGGAGCTGGAGCAGCAAAGTGACGTCTGCGGAAATCCACCACCATCTCCTTGGTCTTCCCCGCGTTGATGAGGAGGTGGTTCCGCTGACACCAGTCCACAAAGTCCTCGACACAACCGTCCGTGTTGTGTCTGAAGTCCGCAGTGTGGAGGGTGAAGAGGAATGGCGCGAGAACAGTCCCCTGGGGGGCCCCCACACTGCAGTTCAGGACCTCAGACACAAAGGCCCTGGTTCTCACAAACTGGGGTCTGTCTGACACATAAAACAAAAATGAAACAAATGTTCCTTTGCACCCCACTCCTGCCTCTGCAAAAATAAAAAAATAGAAAAAGACAAAGTAAAACTATTAACAATAATGACACATACATAACCCAGAACATTAGTGACATAAACAAGGAGTTTTAAGGAACCTAAATAATTCAAACTTAAATGAACCAAAAGACAGAATGGATCGTATGGATGTGGGGAGTTTATTCCAGTCTGAGGGAGCCTTATATTGAAATGATCTGCGTCCAACTTCTTTAAAAGCTCTTGGAACAGAAAAGGCGAGACCATCAGAGCTTCAGAGTGAAAAAGGTGTAGAGACAGGGACAAAAAACTGTTTCAAATACTGCGGACATCTAAAATCAATGAATTTAAATAGAAAATAATAAGTGCATCCAGTGAAGGTGACGTCTATTGTGAGGTTGAAGTGAAGGTTTTCGTAAGGAGTGCAGTGATGTGCGTGATACGGGCATTTGAGGATGAATCTACAGAGACAGTTAAAAAGTGTCTGAATGTGATGTCATAGTGGTACAATGACATCATACATTATTATTATGATACAAGACTGAGACAGGAGCTTTGAGACAGAAGGGGCGGAGCTACATGTCTATGGATGGAAAAGTCAATCTTTCATACGGCTCTTTTAAAGTCAGCTGTAGATTAATTTTGGGTAAGTAAGTTATCTTTAATTATATAGCACCTTTCCCAGGCCAGAGTGACAAAGCGCTTTACAATTGTTATTTTTGGGCATTGGTCTCTCACTTCACACAGAGATGGGAGCAAGGTAACACCTTGAATACTTGGCTAATTGAATTTCGGATATTTTCCATTTCGTTCTCCAATAATTTGCCGATTGCTATCCTTAGTGGCATATCCAAGCTTTTCCATGCTGTGAAACGTACTTTAATTTTGCATTTGGATAGAAATATCAGTTTTAGTCACTCGAAGTTACAGCAGTTTTGCGGGGGGCCGCCATCTTGGGAAAGATAAAATCAATCAAAGTTCTCCTTCCTCTTCCCTCGCCTCCATAAACAGTCTCGCTTCTCAGCTCCACTCACTGTCACCGTATTCCCACGCCGCTATTGTTTATCAAAAACGCACATCAATTATCCAGCGCACCACTTTATCTCGCCGCCGATCTCTTTGATTAATTAAAACGCGAGCTTTGATTCCGCTCTTGTCCGTAATAAACACACGGCATTATTGATATGCATACGTCCTGCTCGCGTTCATAGGACATCAGTCGCCGTCATCTTTGCTTTTTTAAATTCTTCATCAGAATGATAAATCGCCCGCGAGGAGGAAATTGCTCACAGTGAGTGACAGGGATGGATAGATGTATTAAAAGTATGTTTGATGTTTTAGAGCCTAACTGAAAATTAATCAACCCATAGTAGCTTTTACGAAGGCATTACACAAGGGAATTTAACTTAAAAATCTGTAATGAAATTCTGGTTTAAGGACTCACGACCAGCACAAAAGTCTGATTTATTAATTCAGTCTTTGTATTTCTCATAAAGGGCCATGTGCTTGTTTGCTGTAGTTTGGTCAAATGTTTTGTCAGGTTCACATGCTTTGTCTATGCACTTCGGCACGCCTCTGTGTCGGAGTTTGCATGTACTCCCCGTGTATGTGTAGGTTTCCTCTGGGCGCTCCAGTTTCCTCCAGGCGATCCCGTTTCCTCCAGCCGCTCCGGTTTCCTCAACCACTGAATACATTTACAATAGTTCCCCATAAAACTCTCCCCAATCTCATTCCCAACACGTTTCTCTGGGGCCAAAATTCTGTAATATCAGTGGGATAATTTCGAATGGCCTCTGTATTAACACCTTAGCTGTACGTCATACACAAGGGAACTCAATGTGCTTAACAAAACAAGAATCACAAACTACATTAAAATCATACATAATCACAGTACATTAAAAAGAGGAGGCGACAGTGGCTCAGTTGGTAGAGCATTGGCCTTTGAGCCTGAAGGTTGTGGGGTCGAGCCCACCGTAAGACCTACTTCACGACTCCCACTGATGACTGCTGTCGTTGTGTCCTTGGGCAAGACACTTAACCTCACTTTGCCTGAAGCCCCTGCTGAAAGATGTCCTGTGGACTCACCACCTGCAGGAGGATCAGTGAGGGGCTGGTGAACTGGGTGCAGCTCTGACTGCTACCCCCCGACCCAGAAATGGATTAATGGGAAGAAAATGGATGGACATTAAAAAGAGTAAATGCAAAGGACATGAATGTGACAAGTTTTAGTTCTTGTGTTCCAGGAGTCTTTTTGTTCTGTACCAACTTCCTGCAAATGTGGAAGCGCCATTGTATGTAACAGGAAGTCACAAACTAGGATTTTTCTTTGGCTCAAGGTGAAAACAAGTTAGTTAAAGTGCATCATGGTAAAGTGAAAGTCATAAAGGGCAGGGGTAGAGTAAAGTAAACCTTGGTGGATACATACAAGTTCTCCAAATGATACTAAATATTAAATATGATACTACAT